TTATTGTTAGCATCATTGTCTAAACATTCATTGTTTGAAATTCAAAAATGATAATGAAAAATTATGAAAGGTGACAAAGAATGAAATAATGATTGAATGAAAAAAAATGTAATGAAGTGCATTATCCTTACCTTTTATTAAAATGATAACAAATGAAATCCTATTGCATAAAAGAAATCTTAACATTACTTTTTAAAAAAATCTTAAAATGACACGTATCTTCCAACCAACTTTGACATCCTTCTCTAAAATCATGCCCCTATGCAATCAGGTGAAGGATTTTTATTGGCATCTTGCCACATGATTCGTCGAAACTCACTAAGCATTTATGGATCAAACTTTACATTTTATGTTTAAAAGCAAGGCAAGTCTTAATAGAATGACCCACATTCCCATTATGATAATCACACGTCACATTAGCATCATACCACTTTGGATAAAGTGATTTCAATGGTTCTAGCATAACTGGAGATACCAAGTTATTCTTGATCAATTCTTAGAATAACTCAGTATAGGTCATAGGGATGGAGTCAATATGTGCCTTTTCTTGATTATCCTGAGATCTTCTTAAACCACTCGCTTAGTTGTTAGGCTTTGAAACTATTGTAATGATATGACTAGAATCATATACAGGTACTTGAAAGGTTGATTGGTAAGTTAGCAAGTAAGCTGGTTATGAATATGGTTGATAAGGGTGAGGTAAAATATTATTTACAACAAGATAGTATGGGACATAACCTTATGGTGGATAGGGTTGATATCCCCTGAACTATCTATCAAGGTTCGCGACTTGAGCTTCAAGGTCTTTTTTTTTAGCACCTTTTTTGTTTCTCCTCATTTCAACTTACCATTTTTAATAGCATTCTCAATGATTTCGCATGAGATTATCATGTCGACAAAATTTTTTGTAACATTCCCTATCATCTTTTCATAATAGAGAGATTTTAAAAGTGTTAACGAACAATACCGTGATCTCTTTCTCAGTTAATGGAGGCTGTACTTAAAAAGCTATGTCCCTCAATCTCTAGGCATATTCCTTAAATGATTCAGTTGTTTTCTTCTTCATATTCTGTAAAAAAGGGGAACATGGGCTAAATTTTATAATATGTCGGTACTGACTAATGAAGGCATGGGCCATATCATTCCAAGAATGAATGCAAGTCATATCCAATTAGACATACTATCTAGCAGCAGAGCCCGTGAGGTTGTCTTAGAACACATGCATTAATAGCTTCTCATTATTAGCATTGACAACCATTTTTCGACAGTATATGGTAATATGAGTTTTCGGATGCTTTGTACCATTATACTTCTCAAATTTTGGTATTTTGAATTTTGAAGGAATAACAAGATCCGAGATTAAACAGAGCCCAACAGCATCCACTGAACCATAAGAACCAATGTCTTCTACGACTCGTAATCTCTCATCCAACAAGTTCATCTTTTGTTCAGCTTTTGAGACTTCTAAAGTCTCCTTCTTTTTAGGCTTCAGCTTTTTTTTTTCTTTTGGATCATCTAAAATAAGAACTGATATTGGTTCTACTATCTTTTTAGTAAAGACGAGATTTACATAACTTTGATACTGCCTCGAATTTGAAGTTAATGGCATTCCAAGGTATGTGTACCATACATGATAAGTAAATTACTGTGGTGGTAAACCTTGTACGGATTGAGCTTGATGTGATCCAAAATTAAGAGGGTACAATGAGTCATCCTCCTCTTGTGAGGATGGTCTTATTGGCTGGTATTCTCCTCTACACTCTTTCCCTTATTTAACTTGTTCAAACCCTTCAAAATCCTATTCAACTCTCATTTTAGCTTCTCTTAGGCTTTCTCTATCCTCTCGAGACGATTGAAATTTTCTTATTCCATTTATTTAGCTCGAGCTCTGGTATTGTATTGGTGGGTGAGGTTGCTTAGTGGAGTTATCTTTGAACCTTTAATACCATAATTATGATTAAAAATGTTATGCTGTACTTTATGTATGATATATATACACGAATGAAATGTACATTTTTATTGATGAAATCTAATATGATAATGATGCAGATGCACAATGTTACATACGACAATAAAAATGATGCATGATAATGCAAATGCACACAGTCAAACAATCAAAATGATTAGATCAACACAACTTATTTCTTCTTATGTCCTAGTTTTGAGGTATATCTATCATTGGGTAGAAAGAACTCTATTTTAGGGTTAGGCACTTCTAAGGTTCACTATATGTGGTTCAAAGCTAAAGTCTAAAGGTTCCTAAACTGCTCATTACATCATTGTCCATCACAAACTAGTAAGGCACCCGAATTCTCACCCATTACAGATGACAAGCGAAAAAAAGTTTAATTTAAGTGAGAGTATTTTGCTAGCCATTGCGAAAGCATTAAAATCTCACGAAAGCATAGGTACTTTACTCCCTTCTAAAGGTACGGAGTTTGAGTATAAAACACATGTCATGCACATGCATGTGAATGACATAATTTGCAACATAAATAAATAAAATGAATGGAAAAAAAAAGAAAAAAAAATTCTTACAAAAAATTTTATTTTATTAGGTTTTTTTGGATAACACAAATTTATTTACTGGCCTGATTCTCGGCTTGTCCCTAGTGGAGTTGTCAAACTGTCATAACTTCTAGATTCGTGGACCTATCGCTAGACATTGATTTGAGAAGTCGCCACCAATCTTTTTTTAACTAGGTGTGATTGATCACCTTATGAATCTATCCCTTTAAGAAGTTCCTAAGATTGACGAAGGGTCCCTAAAAGAATAGGTTCGAATTTACTAATCAAAATAAGTTCGAAAGTATGATTACGTGTGAGAAAAATTATAGCACCCTCATAATGTCCATAAGAAGATGGTACCAGCTCAATTTTCGTGTTATCCATTCTTAAAGATCTTATCAAGTAATTAATTATCAAAAATTATTCTTAATTGACTCTAATACTTTTGACAATAAATTAAAAAAAAATTTCACCTTAAGAGTATACAAAAAAATTACTATTTCCCTTACAGAAGCTCCGTTGTCGGATTATTTAACATTAAACAAGATTTCTAAGAAAAGAAAAAGACAAAATGAGTAAAAAATAATGATTAATATAGATCCCTTTTTTTTTTTGTAAAAAAAAAACATATGCTTTTCATACAAGAAAAATTGATACTTTCAACTTTTTCTTAAAAATATTTTTTCTTCAAATTTTATTTTTAAGAAAAATTGATACTTTCAATTTTTTCTCAAAATAATTTTTTTTTGAAATTTTAATTTCAAGAAAAATTGATACTTTCAACTTTTCCTAAAAATATTTTTTAAAAATTTTATTTTCAAAAAAAATTAATACTTTTCAATTTTTCCTTAAAAATATTTTTTTAAAAATTTTATTTTCAAGAAAAATTGATACTTTCAAATTTTTCTCAAAATATTTTTTTTGAAACTTTTTTATTTGTATATTTTCAAGAAAAATTGATACTTTCAACTTTTCCTCAAAAATACTTTTTAAAAAAAAAACTTATTTTTTTATTTTTTTTATTTTTTCAAAATAAATATTAATTATTGTTATTAAAACTTTATCTAAATTATTAAAACACCACTTGGACCAAATTTAGACAAATTTTCACACCTAAAAATTTTATAAAAATTTACCATTTGAAATTTTTATAAATTTCATCATTGAATAATTAATATTTATTCTCAAATTTTTATTTTTATTATTTTTTTATTTTAATTTAATAGAAAATAAAAAAATACTAAAGGAAAAAAAATAAATACATAAATAAAATACTTTAATAAAATAATAAAAAAATACCAAAAAAAATCCAAAAGCGGCTCGACTGAGAATTTGAAACTGTTCGACTACAGAAACAAAAAACGGCTCGTGGGCTCAGCTAGGAAGATGCGGCTCGACTCCAAGGACTAGCTAGCACGCGGGTTAACGAATCGGCTCGTGATCAGGTCGGGTTGACCAAAGCAGAAACACGCAGATCTTTGGGACTTATTAACGCTAAAACGACGTCGTTTTGCAGGGGAATAAAAGGCTGAAACCCGATCTTTCTTTAGATTTCCTTTCCCTTTTCTCTCTTTTCCCTTCTTTTTCTCCTCCTTCTCTCTAAAAAAAACCTAGATTTTGGTTGAATGTTCTACCAAAATCTAGAAAAACAGGAATCTCTCATCGAAAAATTCAAAGTTGGCCAAAAAATTCATTGAAAAATTGATCGGATTCTAAAATTTTTCCAAAAATTTTCAAAAAAAAAAAACCAAAATTTGAAAAATTCCTAAAAAATATAAAATTGTTTTTTATATTCTAGAACCTTTTTTTTCTTCCATTTTTTTCTATTTCTTGTGATTTTATAAGGCCTAGTAGTAGTGTTCCAGGAATCCACTATTGACCAAACTTCCAGATTACCACAAAAACATCAAATTTATCTAATAGAAATTGAAACCAACTTTAACTCGGCCACTATCCATTCACGGCATATTTTTCATTTTTTTATCCCTTAAAAACCAATGATAAATCTAAAAAAACAGATAAATCAAATAAATAAATAAATAAATCAAAGATCAACCCAAAAATAAAACCAGAAGATAATAAAATAAAAATAAAAGAATGGCCAATTAGACCTGATAACCTGGGCCCTATTGAGCCAAGCCCAATGGGCTTAGGCTAGGACCAACTAAACCAAGCCTAAATGGGCTTAAACACGAACCGATTAGGGTGTCTACACACAAAATTATAAAATCAAAATCACACCAAACCTAAAACTAAACAAACGCAAAACCACAAAATACCACAAAATCATACCAAATGTAAAATTCTTAAAATGACTTTTATTATATAAAATTTAACTCATTCAAAATTCTAAAAATTACCTCTCATGATATAATTCTTAACTTGCTTTCCACTTATGACCATTATGATATTATTTATGATATTATTTATGAAAATCTAATATTAGTTTTGATCTAAAGATCTCAAAATTTTATCCAATCAAATACACTTCATAAATATAAATTTCAATTTCAATTTATATATCATATTAAATCATATCACACATTGTTAGGTGTCACACGTTGATTGACGGATGATGGTCATATGAACGAGATCTTCAACTCTGCTTTCTAAAATCCCAAAAACTTTCAGCATACATCTCTATTTCTACAAGTGTCTTTAGTTATTTCTGAATTACCAAACAAAACAAAAGGGGCGAGTGCCCTTTAGATTGCCTTTGAAATTGTCCGCAAAGAAATCAATAGGAAAACTAAGAATAAGTTCAGAAGTGGGAATACCTACTAGCCTTAAAGTCTCCCAGGTTTCTTCTTCTAGTTACTTTTGGCTTTCCAAATAATAGAAGAGCTCTTTATTCCAGCACCCAAGCAAAATGAAGAAATAGCTAAACGTAATACGATAAATCACCCAGCAAAAACTTTCAAAGGCAGTAGCAACAGTGACAAATTACTTCAAATGACTAATCGCCTGGGTTTAATTAATTCAGAGGATCAAGGTTTAGAAATTGGACAGTGATAATTATGTTCCACAATCTTAAATTCTTTCTCTTGAAAGAGAGGAAAAAAGAGATTTTTTTTTTTTCTAACAGCAAAAAGTAAATCTTTGGCAAAGAAAGATCTGAACCACAAATTTCATACAAAGATTAACCAAGTAAAACCCAACACAGATCTTGAATAGAGAGACCAATAACAAGACTCTCACCGGCAAGGAAGTGCCACCAGGTTCAGCCAGTGTAGATATGGAGGTGGATAGCCAGGATGAAAACAGCATAGATGGCAAAGAAAAGAAGAGTGTGGACAGCAATGGCCTTGCCATTAGTCTTCATGCTCCCAAACTCCAGCTGCTTGCTGTTCCCTGGAAATGAAAACAAAAGTCCTGGTGATAGCAACACAAACAGCACCACCCCAACAAGTACAGGAGCCCAATCTGCCATTACAAGAAAATTCCTTGACTTGAACTAAACTCAATCAAACCTGAAGAGCTTCAGAAATCAGTATTAAAAATTCCTTTTTTATCTTTTGTTTTTCCCGAAGGAGAAAAGTGAAATCACTAGATTGTTTCTGGGTAAGGTGAAAGTGTGGAGATGGAAATGAAGAAGATGAGATAAGGAGACTTTCAAGGTTGAAAGTGACAGCTGGGAAGTGGAGCCATTTGTAAGCACAAGAACGACAAGGGAGTCACTTAGGGTATGCAGCGTGTCCTTGTCTGGGATAGGTGCTGACTGGTGACTCCATGTGAATCTAATTCTAGCCATTAGATTAAGTTTGTCAAAATTAGATTAGTGGAAGTAGGATTAGGATTAGGGTTAAGCCCTTTGTATTGGTTTTATTACGATCATTGTCCAAATTAATTAGGAGTGTGATAATATCCTATTTCATAATTGAATTATTGTAATTTTTTAATATAATACTGAAATTAAAAAAATTTTAATTAATTATTTAAATTTTATTTTTATCTATTAAATTGCTCTAATTTTTAATATCATTATAATAATATTGATGAAGCATTTAAATATTACAATAGATGATATGTAACTACTATGCGAAAATAATATGATTGGTACGTTTTAATTTTAAAAAATAAAAAAATTATTTTTTTATATTTTAAAATTAAGATATGATAAACATATTTTTTTTAATTTTTTTATGTTTTAAAAATAAAATATGATAATCATATCTTCAATTATATGATAATCATGTGACATCTTTTTCAGCATTTAAAGTTATATTAATATTATTCTAATAATATTAAATGATTGAGGTAATTTGATACGTAAAAATAAAATTTAGATATTTGATTAGAATTTTTTTAAAATATTATATTAAAAATAATATAATAATTTAGGGCTAAATAAAATATAATGGAATAGTTCAATAAAAACTGGTGAGTTACTAATTTGTAGAATATATTTTTCTTAATTTCCATGTTTTGACCAATGAAATTGACAGGAGTAACAGACTTGTGCTTGGAAAATATTAAATTATTTCTTACTTTCTGTAGGAAATGATGATGGAGTCGGCAGTTTCTTGTCAAAGCCACTATGTTGTGGCAAATTTTTTTAAAATAATCAAAGGCATGAAAAGGATGAAAATAAAAAGTAGCGGTAAAAAAGTGCTTTCAAGGTCCTCTCCCACGCCATTTCTTTGATTGACTGGCTAATCCCGTCTCTAACTTCTTTTGCAAAAGCTTGTTATTTTATCAAACACGAATCCTTAAATGGACGGTGATGAAGCTTCAAGAACCAAGAGATAACTGATACAATGTACTGCAATTGATTTTATAGCGCCTGTGGGATTGACATCAACAGAAAACTATACCTTGCCTTATCCAACAAAAGCAAGAGAATTAAAAGATCAAAAGTATAAAGTGGAATAAATGGGTGTTCTTATTTTTAGCTTTATGGGATTCCTATTCCCTCTATAATTCACTTGAAAACACCATAAAATAAGCATCTAAAGCCTGTTTTTTTATGCTTGTTTGATTCTTCCTTTTTTCTATTAACTCTAGAGGAGGTTTGAGTCTCAAGGAGCGGCATATACAGAAGGTTGAGACATTTTTTTGAAGCCATATAGAATGAATGATTGGGCTGCTCCACTCATAGCTGCTGCGCTGTTTGCATTTCTGTCACCAGGGTTAGTCCTGCAACTCCCTGGGAAGAATCAACCCATTGATTTTATGAACATGAAGACTAGTGTGGCTGCCATATTTGTGCATGCGGTTCTCTATGCTTTGTTCCTGATCCTGTTTCTTGTTGTTCTTCATGTCCACCTCTATGTCTAAGAAAAGGGTTACTCAGTAAACTTGTGCCAGGCACTTTCTACTTGTCAGCATGAGATTTTCATTTGGTACTGTGTTATTCTTAGTTCTAATTTGTTGTGTGATCCATGAAAATCTTGCTTTCCACCGATGTAGAAAAATATTCGATAGGGTTCATTAGCTTTTGTAATTTTGTTGCAAGTAGTGAATTTTAAGATGAGAAGAAATACTTAGCTGTGATCAGTGCAGTTATCTTGGCTGATGTTCTTTTAAGTGTTAACAATATTTATTTGATCCTGAACTTGCCTAGAACAACCGGAGATAACCTGTAGCTGGTAATAAACTTAACAGCCTTGGTTAATTTCTATGGTACTGTAAGTACTTTACAGCTTCCAGTAAATTGCATGTAAAAATGACAAACAGCAATGTTACATATGTTTTAGCTCTACAATCAGTTCATTTTTCTATAAATGCATCAAGATTTAATTCCAGATTCTGGTATTCCGTGAATTGCTGATGACATTGTCAAATAAGTGATGGTCCACTTGAAGTCCAAATTTGGAGCTTTTAAATGGAATTACTAATAGAAATGCATATTACAATTAGCTAGCTTTCACTGTAAGTGAATCATAACTAGTAAGAGTATGCAAATTTGATAACTTGAAACCTGTCAGGTGGAATATGAGCTTAAGGGATTAGCCATTAGCCACCTTTCAAGCCAATAGCCAGTTCATTCTTTAACTGAGTTAGCTGTATATTAGTCTAGTAGCCACAGGATCAAATAAAGCTAAAAGGAATAAAGCAAAGCAGACGTAAGCTTAAAGAAGTTTAGATAATCAGGTAACCAATGAATAAGACAAATCCACAAACCAGAATCAAAACATTTATTTGTAAAATTTGCAAGATTAATGTGAAGTACAAAATCAAATGAAAAACAAAAATATCTAAGCAGACACTTTGGTTCAAAAAAGACACAGACGAAATTGACAGAAACTGAATTACATACCAATCCACAAATTTAGAAACTCTGTAAGTTTCTAAAATGGGTGCTTGCTTTCTGTCAGCTATTAGCCAACATACATGTGCACACGAACAGCTAAGAAGAAGATACAGATGAGTGCGAAGTAAATTATGGAATGCACCAGGATGGATAGTCCACTGGTCTGAAAGTTACCGAACTCTATGCACCTGGACTTTCCTGGGAACTGAATCAGCAGCCCTGGTGTTAGCAGTATGAACAGCACCACTGCCACGAAAACCGGCCCCCAATCGGACATCTTTCCTCTTTCTCTCAGCAACACCAGAACCTTTAGTGTAAATCACTCGGTGGTAATCTGATCTATAATGAATATAAGGAGTGGAGATGGAAATGAAAAAAAAAAGAAGAAAAAGATGATTATAAAGGTGGTGTTTTGCTTTAAGAAGAAGAGACAAAGGGTTTGATGACTAGGAAAAGTGAAGATTAGCGAATCAAGCTATTCGGATTCACATTTCTCTCCACTTAGAGATTATCACATGCACTCTTTTCAAAAGGAAACTTGGCTATAACACTAAATGCGGTCGGACAAATTATGCATCGGTTTTTGCTTTCTGAGCAAATTTGATGTGCCCCTGTAGTCTGGTTTCAACTTTCAAATTTTAACTTCCCTTAGCACTTTCAATAATGTTTTCAAAAATTAACTTTGTGTAAACGAATTGGTCCATGCGGATGTTACAACAAGCTCTGAAATAGATTAGTTTAGTTGATTAGGATTATATATTTCTTCTCGAATCACAATTTACCCATACGAGTGAGAATCCTTTTGATTGCTTATAAGATCAGTTTTCTGGCAGAGCTTTTCTGCATATATCCCCATGGTCAAGCCAAGGCAAGGATAAAGTGTATATGGCAGCTTCTTGACTTTCCAGGATTACATTTTTTCCATCAAGAATTAAAGTTTTGGCTGCTAATTGGATTTGGTTATTGACTATTTGCTGGAGGTGGACTCTGAGAGACAAGAAATTCCAATGTTGTCAGTCAGTCAGCATGTAATTTTCAATCAATATCTATAATTTTGCTATTTGTGCCATTTTATTATGGGTTTTATATTAGCAGAAGGATTCGTTATTTTAGTAAGGCAAAATGGAATAAAAGACTGAGCGAGTTATTCAACCATAAAAAGCAAAATGGAATAAAGCAAACCAGTTATCAAGTAACATAGAGAAAGAAGAAAAAGCTAAATTTTGCTGTATGATCATATGATAATCCATAGTTATTGCTCACAAGTCTGCTTCAGAAAAGATACAGCAGTTCAACATAAGAAACTCTCATCTAAAATCTTAAATAGATAGGATAGTTTAATTGCTAGAAGACAAGTGACTGAGCCAATGCAAATGAGTGCAAAGTAGAGTGTTGACTGCATCAGAACGCTAGTTTGAAATATTTTATAGATTTGAGTTCGTGACAATTATCACGAAACCTTGACGTTTCATCATAACGATCACAATTTTTTATGGTCACTTTGGCATTAATTATTACCTAAGAAATATTGAACTGGGCCAAGCCTATAACTATTGTGGCTGAGCTGAATTCTGGGTCCTTAAAAAATAGGCTCACTTCAGCTAAAATATAGGCCTATGACCCAAAAAGCCAAAACTTGGACCAGCCCACTTATGTCCTGATTTAGCCCAAAGGATGAGCTGAATTTTGGTCCATTAAAGAGTGGGTTCGTTTCAGCAATAATTAAGGCTTTTGACCCACTAAAGCCTTAACCACTCGGACATATCGACAGTTATTTAAGCTAATGGAGACAGAAAAATAAATATAATTTATTCACAGAAAAGCAATTTTCTTCTGAGTTTCATGCATGAAAGCTAGCTTCTTATGGAGCTAGCCTATTTCTGTAGCAACATAGCAGAATTTGTGCCACAACACAAAGAAAAGCATTTAAATGGAAATGCTAGGCTAACTAGATGTGAGAATCCTTCCAAGACTATATCCTTTTGTGAAGTAAAAGAATCCAAAGAAAGTGTCCCATTCTTGTTATCTTAGTTGTACAAAAGCATATTCCTCTCGGATATTTTCCATGTTACAGCTTACCAAATGATGAACCTTTTCTTTGTTTTTTTGCTTTTAATTTGTAGCAAATCGGGTTTAGATTTGTAGGGTGTAGTGGGAAGAGTAGGCATATTTTCGTATTAGCTACCTAACCTAATCAAGATTTGTCTTTTTAACTGTTCATGGGATTAAAGCACTCAGGAAAGCAATTAAGCATTACATTTTAGTGAAAATTTATACTTAATTTATAAAATATTATTCATTTTAATTTAAAAGTCTCATGATTTTATCTCACAAAAAGACTTTAAATTTTTACATATATATATATATATCATAATTGAGGTTCCTAGTTGTGGAGATCTGTACCTAATTTAAGAGATATTATTCTTTTTGATTTGAAAGTCTCGTAATTTTATCTCACAAAAATACATAATAAATTTGGATTTAAATTTTTACACATATATCATATCATATCCACATATTTTTTTTAATATGAGATTGGAGACGTTACAATCTCTCTACCTTTAAAGCTTAACGTCTATGTTAAGTCGGATCCAATCATATGACCAAAATCACATCAGATATTAAAATTTTATATGTGATTTCTCACCATGTAATACTTAATAACTTTCACGATATAGCACTTAATTCTCATCAATTTGTGATCACTCTAATATTATTTATGAAGATTCACACTTAACTTGTGAGATATTATCTATTTTAATAAAAAAAATTTATAATTTTATTTTATAAATAACATCTCATAAATTTAAAATTAAATTTTAATTTATATATTATATTATATCAACATATTTTGGATATGAGTGTTGTGATGATGAGATTGAATTCAGTGTCGATGGAGTGTTTTTAGAATTTGACAAGCTTATATTCATCACGGTCAATATTCAAGTATAGGATCCCTATACTAAGAAGAAAATGATGGATAAGAAGGAAATGACTAGCTTTAGTTAGGATGGATAAGAAGGCAGATGCCTACCTTTGCTGCTAGACAAGCCGTTTCTCAACAGTGTCTCCAACCGCAACCTGACTGTTTAGCTGCAATATTATCTACAATACAAACCAAAATTAAGCAACAGAGAAGTTCCAGCCAAGGCATAGATTGTAGTAATCTATTTGGTCTGCCAACAATGAGAACTCCTCGTCTTACCTGTCTGTTACCCCTTGCTTCTCAGAGTTTTTTCCCACAAAGGAGTACATTAAAATCTTTATTCTTAAATAGAGGTAGTTCTAATCTTTTTTCCTTGAATAAGGTGTTTTCAACTAATCAACGTCATATCATTGCTTACGTGGTCAATATTAATTAAAGGGCAATTGAGTTTATTTTTTTATTTTTTAATTTTTTTTCTCTATCCGATAATTTTATCAAGAAACAAAAACACTTCCAATCTGGTGTCATCCTCAATTATCCATCAACTAATTAAAAATTTCATTTAGCATCCACATGAAACAAAAGAAGAAAAACTACCCAAAAACAATTTAAATTGATAAACTCTTAAACACGCAATAATCCCAAAAGCTTTAAAAGATGTGTATTAGGGTAATTAAATTCATTAATAATCTTATGATTACAAAATAACAAGAATCTAATAATTAATCATGAACTTGCACTATACCAACAATGAAAATTGAAAACCAATAGCTAAAAACAGTTGATCGAATAAATATTAATATGGCATTTTGAAATCTAAGAAATCTACAAATATTCTCAAAAAGTTAAAAATCGTTTACAATTTTTTTAGCAAAAGAAATAACGAAACAGGTAGGCTCTCCATACGCACATCCTAATTCTTTCCTATCGCTCTCCAAATGAGGATTTTGAAATCTGAGAATACCCCTTGTGGTCTTGTAGTAGAATTAAAGTATTGTAGGTGGGATACAAAAGCAATTTGCGAGAAGATGGCATTGAAAGCTGTTGCAGGTATAGTTGTGTTTTCTTTTTAAATTTTACTGTCAGTTAATTACAGGCTTTTTAAGTTTTTTTTATTCTATAGATTATATTTAGCTACTTTTGTTTTTTCAACAAGTTATATGCAGGAAGGGAGAAGGAAGAAGTAGAAGCAGTTTCTCACTTTCTCTAAAGCAAGAACTAGATGAAGCTTTGCAGAAGAAAGCTACACGTGAAGAAAGGTTAACTCATTTACATGCGGTCTTCAAGGAATGCATACAGCAACTACGCTTTGTTTGAAAAGAGCAGGAACTAAGGATTCATGATGCTATAATGAAGGCTTCAAAAAAGTTTGAGAAATCGTAGACAATTTTAGAGGAGCAATTGGCAGAGACTAGCAAAAGGCTTGCCAAATTAAGTGTTAAGAATACTAATCTTAGTAAGACTTTCTTGGCAAAGGAAAAGGCGATTGATGATTTAAACAAGCAAAGAGCTCAAATGGAGACAGATTTTAGTGCACTAATAACAAGATTAGAATCCATAAGGAAAGATAATGCTTCTCTTAAATATGAGGCTCGAGTGCTTGAGAAGGTACTTGAGATCAGGAATGAAGAAAGAGAATTCAAGAAAAATCAAAACTTCATAGTCTTGACATTGAAAATATCCAGAACATGCACCTACTTTGATTTTAAAAGTTCCTGCACCATGGTACATGCTGGGGTTGAGTTATTAAATATGTTGGACTTTAAAACCACATGGGATTTTTTCATTATTAGTCAAGGTTGTTGGTTCTGATTCTTCTTCCTTCTGTCAATTTAGAACCTAGAAAAAGAAAATTTCGGGTAGTGGAAAAAGGAAATAAAGAGAAAATCACCTTTTCCCATGTGATTCATGGAATCTGTTGTTTTTGTTACATTATTTTGCTTGTCCGATACACAAGGATCTATGTTCATTTTCTATTTTTAATATAATTTGAGGCCTGAGAGTGACAGACAAAAAAAGAGATAAAAATGTTTGAATGATCTGATAATTTACTTTTTAAGGACTAATTTTATTAGAAAAATGGTTTATTGAGTATTGAAACCCATATTGTTCTCCACTGACAACCGCAATTCAATATTGGTGGATGGAATCATGGCTTATTAGACAAATAGAAAATAGCCTCTTAATTAAGCAGCAAATGAATATTAACTTCTATAGTGTTTTTTTACAAAAAATTATAATGAAAATAAAAAAATATTACAAATTTTAAATTTAAATTATTTAATATTATATTTTAAAAATAATTACATAAATCAATTAAATTAAATTTATGATTTTATTATATCTTTCATAGTTACTAGACTTTACAAAAGACACCTGATTAGAAAGCTATAGCTAATTATTTGCAAGACCCTTGGATTTTATCATAAGAATGAAGAAAAAAAAAACAAAATCAAAAACTGAAATAAATGAAAGGTATATATAGAACTACAGAAATGGAAACTTTTACTTTCCAAGGGTAATTCCCACTCAAATTTTGTATCAAGCGTATGCAAATAAGATATCCTGGCTGAAGCCAAAGATAATTCCACTAGAATAATGTGCATAAAGTTGGATTTTCATTTTGAAGTTCTCTAATCCTATGATAGATGGCTAATCTCACCCAATAAGGAATGTAGAAAAGCATTATATAAGTTGTCTAACAAGTTGCATAAGAGATTGCTTAATCTGATGCAATGCTTTCTTAATATGTAATTCTTCCAGGAAATGAAAACATGATTCCTTTTTATAACAGAAGGTCTAGAAGCAATTGACAGAAAAAAAAAAAAAAAAAAAGACAGTAATTTTTATATGTCAACTGTCAAGATTTTGTATCCACATGACAGAAAGGAATTACTTCTTATATACCCATTCCTGAATTTTCAGGTCAATTATGGATGATACATAGTTAGAAAGGCAACAGTCAAAAAAAATTTTTTTGTTTATTTTCTTGGTTAAAGATAATGACCAGAGGAAACTTAAAATATGCTATGATTGTTACAGTATAATGTTGCCCCCCTTCGAAGATTTTTTTTTGCTTTTCCTGTTTTTTGACAGTGAAAATTTTAGGAGAAAGAGAAAAGGCAGTTACATTGGAGTTGATCTCAACCATCAA